GAAATAAAATTGAATAACCTACATATACAGAAATTAAAAACATGAAGGTTTTCCCCACCTTGAATCTTACTGCTAAGACAGTATCATCGTTAAGTTTGTTGCATATCTTCCAGACTTTTCCCATGTATTTATAATCACACACACACACACACATGCACACACACACCATAAGAACAGTTGAAGATTTTGTTTTTAAATAAAAATTAAAATCATACTTAACAGTGTCCTGCAACTTTCTTTTCTCAATTAATATATCTTAGATATATTTTTATATAGTACCATCAGCTGATGAGCATTCAGACTGAATACAGTTTTTCACTATTATGAACAATACTGCAGTGTCTAATTTTGCACATACATATCTTTGCACACAGGTGCTAGTATTTCAGTAGGACATACTAGTCCCAAAAAGTAAAATTGCTGATAGGAACTTTTACAGATACTACAAAATTTCCCTGCAAAATGAATGAACCAATTATGAGTTACCAACTCTTAAAAGGACTAGTTTATCACAAGTAAATTTTTAACTCACATTATAAGGAATTAGAAGAAATTCTTCCAAATAATAGAAATGATAAAAATGTGTATATCTAAACTTAATCAAATGGCTCCTCTTCAATATCCTACAAGTTTGCCTAAGAAACAGTTTTTCCTAAGTAATTGATAATTGTGTTCAGGTCAAACAACTATATGACTTTTTCAATTTGGGGACAAGTATACTGAAAAGGGAGATGGAAATGTATATAACTGATCTATAAGAATTGGAATGAGAAAATTAGCAATTATGTCACCATTTATCATTTCTCAAAGAGAGAGAATATAACAGTTTGTAACTCATGTTTTAGAGTCAGACACACTCAATCACTCATTCAACAAATATTAACCGAGCATCTACTGTGTGTCAGGCTCTGTTCTAGGTGTTGGATATACGGGCAAACAAGACAAAGAAGACCCCTCTGTTCTCATGCAGTTTACATTAGGGCTGTGGAGATAAATCAATCAATTTAACAGAACAATTTCAAAAAGTGATAACCAAATAGAGCAGTGAGAAATTACTGGAGAGAAGGGACAAGGTTCTTTTACACTTGATGGCCAGGAGAGGCCTCTCACAGGAGGTGACATGTGGAATGACTCCTAAATGACAAGAATGAGCTAACCAGGGCAAGATCTGATACAGAAAGGGCAAAATTCCTAATGTGGAAACAAGTTTGTTCTGTTCAGGGAATGGAACGAAGGCCAGTGGGCAAGACTGTGGCACCCGATGTTGGAGGAAAGGAGTGGGTGAGGCAACCAGGCAGGACTTTTAGGCCATTGGGAGACGTGTGCTTTCTATGTCATTTTAAGTCATTAGATTGTATTAAGTGTGAGAGTGGCATGATCTACTTTATATAGTAAGAGACCATTCTGGCTAATATACTGCTCTCCACTTATTAACCATGTGTCCTTGGACAAGCTACATTACCTTCCTTAGCTTCAGTTTCCTCATTCATAAAGTTGCGATAATAATAGTATGTAGTACATGGAGCTGATATGAGAACTAAATGAGGTAATGAATGGAAAACATTTTGCACACTGCCTAGCACATAATAATTGTTCACTAAATGATTTCAACTAAATCACTTTTATATCATTGGGATCATATTGAACAGAACTGAGCATAATTCACTATCTCCAATTATGCAACATAATAACTAAAAACATCCTTTAAAATTAGTCCTGATTCAAGTTTCCTAATATTGAGAGTCTGGATATTTCATTATTGAATCAACACTCAGCACTTCCTTCTTACTGATCCTTTAATACAGCCCTGAACTATGTATGTGTATGTTCACACCCCTTACTCACAGACACACTACATTATACATTTTTGTGTTACCCCCAGAGCCCACAATGCTCAATGCACCCTATATAAGGAAGGCAAGCAGATAGGTAGATGGGTGGAAGGACAGACTAACACATATGTGGAGGATAAAAATCATGAGGACAACAGAAAAGAAGGGAGTGTTTCAAACTGAAATATTTAAAACAGTAAAGTTTTTTAATGATGAGTATTTAAAATGTATAACTGATCATTTCTTGCCATGTTTGTTATTCTATTCGTGCATTTACTTGGTACCAGGGACTAGGCTGAAACCCTAACAGAAGACACAGCCCTAATGTAAGGACTTACTGCCTTCCAATCTTGCTTCACCTCTATTGAAAATATTTAGCAACACTCTGAGAAACACAAGAAGTACTTCTCACATTTACCACAGTACTGAAGAATTATGAGTAACAGAACCAAAATTGTGAAACCTGCTGTACTCAACCTTTGCGTTTCTCATGTTCTCAGGTTTATTTGTCAGTGTGATACATGACAGCAAGAAAGTTAGTATGTAGAGTTCCAATTTCTTGGCTTTGAAACAAAGATCCACAATAGTTGTGGAAACATTTGTTCAGTGATCTTTCTTCTAAATATACAAATTGTTTCTACATACTTGAAAGTGTGTAATGGATGAAAAATAGCCCTATATCCAAATATAGAGCATAGAAATTTGAGAAGTTATTAGTTCAATTAAATAAAATTAGTAAAAGAACAACTAAGAGTGGAAAACAATGTCCTTTAGTGGAAACTATTCTGTGATATACAAAGTACTTTTCTATGCATTGTCTTATTTTGATCTTCACAAAATCTCTCTTAAAAATACTGGTAGTTTATAAGTCTGCCATTTATAGATATGAAAACTAACACAGTGAAATTGAATAGATAATTTGACCCAAGCCTCTCAATCATTAAGTAGCCAAACTGGACCTCTAAACCAGGCCTTTTGAGTGTACTTTCTGCACCCCAAACTAATTCAACATGCCACAAATAATGCAATTCGTTATAACTGAATGTATTTCTATTTAAAGAGACAGGTGAGCAAACTATACATAAAATAAGTCGCAAGTAACATTATTAAAATTCCACCTGGAATATTATAAATTCTTTCAATTAAGACAATAATCTTTTTATATCAGCACAGTTCCTGTTTGGTCATTAAAACACTACATATTCCCTAGCTTCAGCTCATAACAAAGTTTTATCCCTTGAATACATTATGTGCCAGACTCTGTCCTGCCTTCTCCACATTCATTGACTTCAACTCTTACAACAATCACCATCATCATCATAATTACAGACATGGAATAAACAGAGGCATAAAGAAGTAACTTGTCCATGACTATCTAGTTAGTAAATTGGTTCAGTGACTCTTAACGGCAACATTATGCTGTCTCTTGAAATAGAAGCCTCTATCCCATTCCGACCTCTCCCTTATTAGATTCAACCAATGATAAGGGAAGAATCTTTAATGTAGATGAAGAATTAAACTTTTTATATGCATGTTTAAGCAATATCAATCTTGTCAACCAGTGACTACGCTTCATCTTCAAAGTGCTAGAGGACCCACATGAAAAGTGTCTAACAGAGAACTTGGCACAGCACACGCAGGTGACAATTACTGAGAATCTACTGTGTGTCTGGCTTTATGCTAAGTGCTTTTCTCTATATATGCACTCCATAAATGTTAACATTGTTTTTTATTTTCTCTAATGGAAAAGCTGGATCCACAGCTGTTTCTTTGGAAATTAAGCAGGGCAGCAGAGAAAATTTCTTTTCACAGAGGCAAGGGCTGATATATCACTGGGTATAGAAGCTTGTATATGGCTTATAAGTGACTGCTATTGCTCTGGCCCTTGAAGAAACCCACATAAGAAAGTGTGGAAGGAAAGTATCAATGAGAAGACTGAGGTTGTAAGCTGGACTCCCCACCTGCAGACAGATTTCATCTCCGAAAGTAATACTTAAAGCACAAATAAATTAAAAGTTTATATAAGTTCTCGCCAAGTCCCTTTAAATAGTATGCTTTCTTAACATTTTTTTAAAGAAAAAATTCAATATAAAAAAACTGTATTCACACATGACTTTTGAGAAACCCACATATTATGCAAAACAAAGGACACCAGCCTCCCCTGATCCAACTACAGTTTGGAAAAACTTGATTTCAAAGTAATGCTAGCACACCATTGGTTAATTCCTCAGGAACTGAGCAAGAACTATCTTGCGTACTCTGTGTTAAATGATGTAGGTATGAAAATGAAGAAGGAAATCTCCCTTCCACTATGGAACTCAGAGTATAGTAAACAAAACTAATCCCATGGAAAGCAGCCATTCTTTAAAATATGGCAATGATTGCTTCCAACTTGCCACAATGGATTCAAATGACATAGAAATAGTCATATGAAATATTGTGACACTGGCTTGGGAAAAAACCACACCTTTTACAAAAGATGTGATATATATGTATTATATGGGATGTGTGTGTGTGTGTGTGTACACATATATTATATATTCTATATATTATATGTACATATACATATTATACACGTATACATATATACATGTGCATATATACATGTATATATTATATATATCATACACACATATATACGTATATACACACATGTATATAGAATAGAATAGAATAGAGTAAAATAGAAAGCAAGTTCCTTTATAAAGGTGAATATATCCAGCAGCAGTAGACCTCAGAATAAGACTGAAAATCGAGGAAGTCTGCTGAATCTAGTAAATTATCCAAAGAGATCTGTATCTCTCTCCTCCCTGATGTTCTTCAAATTCCTAGTTGAGCAATATATTACATCTCAACAAGAAAGATATAGAACTACTTACAGTAACAGAGACGGGAAAAGGTAGAAAGTAGTGAACATACAAACAACTAAGGCAGAGTTCTGGGTTTCATTGTACATTCCACAGCCAATATGAATGATATTGATTTTCAGATTATCTGCTCTTTTATATTACTCATACCCCTCCTTTCCCCTCTATTAGTGAAGAGAACTGAATTGTCTGTGCATTTGCTGGATTCCACTGAGAGGCCTGAATCACCACTTGGAATATCAATCATTCTTTTAAGATTAGTCTCTACTAAAAGCCTGCAATGAAATGATAATGCACTAACCTGTCTCCAGTTAATGGCAAAATAATGGTTGCTTGGGAAGAAAACACAATGAAAGATAATCTCATTTGAGGGCTGCAAAAGAAGAAGAGAGGCAGTTAAAACATTTTTAAAAGAAAGATTGATACACTACAGATGTATAGCTAGGGAGTCTCATTTAAAATAGGTCTCACTGAATGGCTCGGGCTTCTTTTAAATGGAGCTTCCTAAGTAGATACACTAACTCTGCTGAACATTACTGCGTAACTCATTTTGGATTTAGTCAGTGCTTCTCAGCACTCCAGCATTCCTCCATGACCCATAGGGACATTTAGGAAGAGCCTAACTAGAAAGATAAATTCTAGGCCAGTGTAAAATTCTTTTGTAGAAAATGCTAGATGTTCTACCTCAGCTCCTTGAAGGAGGCCAGACCCTTGTTAGCCATTCTTAGGGCTGCAAAGCAGTCAGTTTGATTTAATTACCACAACTATGACATGAGTTCACACCAAAGTTATCCTGAAGTAAGACTGCATAAAGATTGCCACGGACAATGTGAAAATGACTAAACAAATCGCATTTTAATTCGGCATTTTCAATTTTCCATGTCTCAAACATCATACTTTCAATCGTCAACAACTGCCCTAGTTAGTTACATCTTTTAAGCTTTAGGCATTTATCTCATAAAATAGTTCTTGTTTCTAAGACATTCTTTGCAACTGTTACTAAGAATTAAAACTGATGACAGGAAACAAAGACCTATAAACTGAGGATCAGAATGATCTCAGAGGCTCATCCATATTTTGAGAGTAACTCTCTTCAGGAGTCACCCTTTATTATTATTTATTATTATTTATTATTATTATTGTATTGTTAGTAACCGAGCAACTGAACTTGAGCCAGGGAACTGTGTATTAAAGAATTCCAACTTGCAAACCAGACCAAATAAGTAAAAGCCCCACTTCTCAAAAATGTTGCATTGAAACGAGCCATTGCTTTCGATCAAATTCTATATAAGGCTCTCTGCACACTCTTGGATTAAATCAGAAAATTTCATAAAAACTGTCTCTTCTGCCTTTGACATTTAAAGATATAGGGCCTTGTTTATTTTTCTTTCCTAGACAGTTTTTACCTCAGACCCTGTCCAGCAATGAGAGTGTTATGCTTGGCTTCTTAAACAGGAGGCTGATGATTGAACATGGACAAGCATACATTTTTATAGGGATAAGTTTACTGCTGCCAGTAACTGAAAGCAAGGATTGCCTAGGCCTCTACAGATTGTTGAAGTTACTTGCAACATGACTTTCAAAATGTTTTGATCATCCAAGGCTGTTTTACAGAAAACATTTGGGCTAACAAGACTGAAAGAAGCAATATTTAATGATACAGCTCCTTTTCATGTCCTTTCCATTATCTTGATAAACTTGCATTTGCTCATGGCATTTTTTCTTTAAAAAAAAAGAAAAAGGAGGGGGCCAAATAAGCTTCAAAAGCCTGGTGTCCTGGGGCTATTTTTAAATAGGGATGCCACTAATTGCTAGCTACCTCTAAATAGGAGGCTAAGCTCAATTTCATGGCAGTTATGCTTTATATGGGAAGAGAAACCAGTCTTTCCTAGTAAGGTTTATTGTATACATAGAACAGTTAAATTTTAAACCAGCGACACACCCACACATTGTGTAAACACAAGTCATTTCTTCAAATATACTTGCAAGTGCCTTTTCTGGTAGTGGGTTATTAACATGTGTTTATTTTAAGTTTACTAACACTTATTATTATTATTTTTAAATAATGACCTCTACAATGGTAAGAATTATGTGGAAAGGAAAATATATTATGGAGACTATTAGCATAAAAAGGAATTCTAATGTGATAAATTATGAGAAAGCATAACTGAAATTCAAAGCAGATGAAAATTCAGAAAGGAAAAGACATTTGGAATAGTATTTGAAGATCCTTCCCCAGAGCCTGGGCCAAGTTTCTGGGATCCAGATGAAATAAACCCTCAACAACTGAAAGTCTGTCCTAATAACAGCATGTGTGTAACATAGATCTTGAGCCACTTAAAAATCAACGTTTCCGTGAAGGCTTTTCCTGCAAAACGTTTCCAAAACGGGTTACCCTACATTTTGGGTTATTTCCCTCCACCTCAAACTCCCTTGTGTAGAAAAAGTAAAGAGGGAGAAATACCTCACAAATCTCTCTGTAAGTTGCTGGACAAAATTGTAAATTTCAATCCAGTTATTTGCCACACTCCCAGACCTGAAAAATGAAATTGAACTGGTCAGAAAAGCAAATATTTACATGGGGAATCACCTGGCCTCTTCTAAAAGCAAAGTAACAGTCTCAGTAGCTGAAACTTAGGTGCTGCAAGAATCAAGGAATCAAGGAAGCCAACCTGTCTTCCTGGACCACCTGCTTGCTAATGGTTTGGAGTAGGATTCAAGCTCTTTAAAATAAACACAGCCTCCCTTCGCAGGAAATGCAAACCCTAGGTGAAAACTAGGATAAAACCAGGCAAACTTTAGCCAGCATGACGGGGTGAGGACTGAGAGGCCCAGAAAATCTGTGTTCCTGGGACGCAGAAGGCTACCCCACAGGGGCCTCACTTCCATTTCCCAAGAGGCCCCAAAGCTGGCAAGCAGTGACTACCCCACCTCCCCTGAGTCAAGCAGCTCAGGGCTACTCCTATCACCCCCCACACCCACCCGCCCCAAGCCCGCACAGATCCGAAAGTGCTTGCCCTGTGCATGGGGATAGCAACAGGGCACTCATCAACGGGTGGGTTTCTAATACCCCTCCCCAGGGCGCACTCACATGTCGACTTCCCCGGCCACAGCTCAGCCATTGCCACCCGCACCAGAAGACCCGGGACCTCCCTCTGGCACTCACTTGTCCAGGACGAAGTAGAGATCAAAGGCCCCTCTGCAGGAGGGCTGCTCCTGGGCTCTCAGCAGCCCTCCAGGACCGCTGAGCGCCAGCAGCCATAGCCCGGGGACCAGCCAGCTCCCAGGACTGCGGGCCAGGGACTGTCCCGCCACCATCCTGCGGCCAGGGGCCTGCGACTCCGTCCTGCTCGCAGCCCCCTCGGCTCGACTCGGTGGGGATGCCACGGTGGTAGGAGTTGCCAGGGACCCTGGGGTGCAGGACAGCGAGCAGCTAGAGCGCCGGCGCCTGGGGTAGCGGAATCCACTAACTGAGGGAGGGAGGGAGAAAAGGAGGGAGGGAGGTCCTAGGAGGACAAAGGGAGACTCTGCAACCGACCGCCGCAGCTGCCGCCGGAACTCTTGACGAATCCTAGTGGAAGGGCAATCCAGTTCTTCCTCTCGGGATTCCGGAGGGTTCCTGCAGACAATGAGGGCCCACGGCGACAGCTCGCAACAGAAGTTCCTCCTCGGCCTCTGGCCGAGCCTCTAGCGCCAGCCTGGGACCCGAACCGTGCGTCCCATTCCTCCGGAGTGCGCTGAAGTCCGACTGATGCAGCGCTCTGCGAGGCAGGCACCCCCGGGACGCAGCGACAAACTTGGAGTGGAGATCCCTGTGTTCTGGTTCCCTCTCACGCGGCCCAACTCCACTCCGCACTCCAACTTTCTGCCTTGTGCTCCGCTCTGGCACAACACAGCCGGGCGGTCCCCTTTAAGGGAGGAGGCTGAGCGGGCTCTGGGCTAGTGGCTCGGACAAGCCACTCCAACCTAGGCCAAGAGCGAGCGATCTGGCCAAGTTTCGTCTAACTGTGTCAGTGTGAGCCCGAGGGCGAGGGCGGGGCCTGATCTGAAGCCCGAGAGCCACACGCACACTTGAGGGTTCTTGCCTGGGTTGAAAATGACTAACGATTGCCAAATTTTGGAAAGGGGAGAATTAGTTTAACAAAACAAATGTCCTGTAGAAACGAAACAATACCCACATGTCCTGCAGGCCTGGCTTATTTCAGCAACTGTGCGGAACAGTCCTCTGTGTGGCTGGGAGACCAGAGACTAGCAATTCCAACAGAGGTGAAGGTCTCCTCACTCTGCCCCACCCCCACTAGCATAAGTACACATCCTCTTTACTTTGGGAACCACTACCTACTGAAGGCAACTTCCTCTTCTATTACAAGCCTACTTTGTCGTTTCATCTCACCAATCCAAGAAAAGGCGGGGCGGGGCAGAGGGGGGCAGACAGAACAGTAGAAAGTTGTACTGCCAAATATTGAATTCCACTGTCATTCACCACAAACGCCAGATATTAAGAACTTCATCTTGGGGCAAGCTAGGGGGGGCAGGTACCAAGCTTGTGCCAAAGCTGAAGTTTGTATGCACTGAAATTCTAGGAGTTCTCATTCTACACGCCCTCCTCCTTCCTCTCTCCTCCTGACCACCTCCACCTCTGACCTCTGCCTTGCCCTTGCTGAAACTGGCTTTTAGAACTTACAATAATTGACAGTAATATGAGGTGTCACGTCTTCCTTTGTCTTTAAATCAAGAATTTATGACAAAAATTTCATATGGTACTTAATCACATGTTGCCTTTTAATATCTCTTGTGTGTGTAGTCATGTGTATATAACTTTTCATTTACATTATCTTTGACATAAACCAGATTTGTAAACATTCTGAGACTAGAAACCAGTCACTGTAACAAAAACTTAGTATTAACTTATCTATTAGGCACTGCTTTAGGACTTACAGTTAATGCACAGAACAGGATGACAAGCCCCTATTTTCATGAAGCTTGGAGTCTGGTTGAAGAAGAGACACATACATACATACATACATATCCAGATTAGAGGGTGGTTTGCAGAGATTTAAAATATGCGAATATGATAGAGAATGACGGACTAGACAACAAACAAAAAGAAGGCAGCTATTCCAAGAGCTAAAAGAGGAAACATTCCTATTTCCTGCAACTCCCCATGGGCATTAATTTAGCACACTCAAGAAGCAAAGAGAAACAGTGTGGCTGGACCTATGTCAGTAAGATGAAGTAAGAGAGGTAGGCAGGGGCCACATTATGTGATGCTTTATAAACTGTAATAAAGAATTCAGATCTTTTATATTAAGTGTGATAGGGGCCCATGAGAGTTTAACCCTGAGAGTGGGGTAAGGGATAAGTGATATGATCTGTGTTTTTCAAAGATCATTCAGCTAACATGATACAATGGACTTGGAGGCAGCAACAATGAAAGCAGGGAGATCAGTTAGGAGACGATTACAGTATCAGGGCACAACAAAATGGTACCTTGGCGTATCATCCCTATAGCGGCTAAACCGAGGGAAATGAATGGGTGAGAGCTTCAATAAATGCAGATGGGCCCTCAGTTGGGAAATACCTGCCCCTCGGAGATGGAAATTCCCATACCCTCCCCTGGATCCACCATTTCTTATGTGATGGGGTAAGGAAGGTACTAATGGGGCAAGTGGTTGATTGAATGGAAGACAACTTATCCTTTTGTTAGAAAGAAACACAAACCCTCCATTGTTTTCAAGCAACTGATCTCTAGAAGAAAGTCGGAGCAGAGGGGTGGCTATATTAAAAGGATTCTAATTCTATCCTCCTTGGCTTCAGCTTTGCTTGAGGTTCTAAAATTCTGATTCCTCTGCAGCCATCAAGCTTCCAGGGATGTGCTGCCACCTCTCAGTTCATGTTTGGGCCCATCATGGATACATTAGTCCGCTTGACTCCTGGTAACAAAGCTGAAACAGACTGACATTTTTAGGAAACTTGTATCAACAGCTTGTCAAAGTTTCTTTTCAAGGTTTTAATCATTTATTATTGGTTAAAACTAGTCTCCATTTTCATCTTTAGTTTGAATCAAGACAGAATCAAAGATATCGTACACATTTAGCAATTGATACCTTAACAATATATGACTAAATAAAAGCTGGGGGAGGGGGCAGGAATCTACCAAAAAGTAATGACAACTGGTTTTAAGATAGGAGGGGACAGAAGGTAACAAAATGTAAACCGTGATGCTAACCGTGTACTCTATCCTCATGAAGTATTTTAAACTCACATTTATTGGCTTCCTTTTCCCTGAGCTTCTTCACTCATTGTCCGCTCATCTTCTGGGACTCCACAAACTGAACTCAGAAACTTTCTTGCCTTAGGCCCTAACTAAAGCAGAATACCTTGAACTTAAAATAAGTTCTTCCCCCAGATTCCCAGGCCCTTCTCGAGTCCTCCCACTCAGTTCTTCTTTCCTGACAACGAGGCCAGCAGAGGTGACTGACATACTGAAGCATATCACCATTCTTTCGTGTGTTTGTTTGTCTGTGTAATTCATTCAGCCCAGTTCTGGACCTCTTTTCATTTCACTCCCTTACTCATCAGATCCTCAGCAAAGCAGGGAAGTGGCCTAACCTAGCACAGACCAATAACTAATCAATAATTATATAATTATCAGAATCACTTTCATCCAATAAAAATCTGTGGGAAAGTTTTAATTACTGGGCAAAACAACTGTCCTGATTTGCCCCCAGATGAAGGGTGTCTAGGGACAGGGGACTTTCAGTGCTAACACTGGGCCAGTCCCTGGGATAGTCCCTGGCGAAGGAGGCAGTTGGTTCCAAGCAATAACGAGGGCAGAATTGGGAGTCTCATCACGCCATGAAGCAGTAACCATAGCAACACTTTCTCTTCCCCTCTATCAGGTGGAAGGACAGGGCATTGTGACAGCTAGATGCTAGCCAGGTAAGGTTTCAAACTTACTTTTGCACCATGAAAGCCATGCTGGAGCTCTGTTTAACTTTCAACTTTAGATCAAGAATGCCACAGGGAATGTAGATTTTTAAGCAGAGAGAGAGAAAGAAGGGGGAAGGGTCGGGGCCGGTGTATTAAGGAAGGAGGGAGAGGAATGGAGAGAAAGGGGGGCTAGGCTGTATTATTTAGATGAATAAATCTAAAATATTTGTCTTTCATCAAATTATCTAGATTTCTGCTGAAGTGTTTTACTTCACAATCCATGCAAGACCCTACTTTCTGAAAATTTTATTTTGTATCAAACCAAACTTCGAATTCAGTGTTAGAATTTATCACCTCAGTACATAAAATATGCTGCTAAATCCAAAACCATTTTAAACTTAGTTTAACGCAGTTAGAATAGCTTGAGAATGATAACTAATGACTAAAAGTGTTTACTAGGTCAGTATCTTTTTTACCTGCAGGGCACCTATGGACATCTTGTTAAATTTTATTTAATTATTTCTTTACTGACTTTTATTTAACAAGTATTTATGGGTACCCTACTATGTATCTGGTAATGTTCTAAGCATAAATCTTATACCCTCTCCTCTCAGGAGTTCACCTTTCCAACATCCTATCATTAATTTATTTCTATCTCTCCCCTACCCCAACAAACAACAAACAGGAGGGACAAATATGCAACAACAATATAAAGTATAGGAAAATAAAATGAATGTATCCTTTATGTGTAAAAAACCATATAATCTATACAAGTAGATATGTTTGTATGACATGCATAATGACAAATATGTTACTTCTGGAAGTTAGTAACACACTGGAAGTGATTCATTCACATTATATGATATCTACAGTGATTCAGAGGAAGAAAATAAACCTTCGGTACCTGTATATGACAAAGCTTATTTAAACTTTTATCAGGTATTGTCATTAAAGAGCTACATTTCCTCAATGTCTAAACTAGTTCCTGAGAGTGAACAAAGTGCTTCTGGAAGGTGCAGTTACTTCCAAACTAATATCTCCATGTACGACAACAGGGAATGTCGACCAATGACAGAGAATGATCACCAACATCTGCATTTGGGAGTGAGTGTGTTTTAAATCCAGAGTCCCAAGGCTCTGCGATTTGCACGCAGGGGATGCACTGGAGCATGCACTGTGAGGGGTGAACAGGGATGGTCAGGGAGACGGCTGAACATGAGGCAATGACAAAGGAGGCCGCAGCCGACCCCAGTGGTAGCTTTGGAGGTGGGATGGTCTTTCACGGTTGTTCTGATTTGACTGTGGCAATGGGGCCAGAGTTTCGTGTCCCCTTCATGGTCAGTCATTAAAATGTTGGCTGTCCCTTTACAGAGAGCATAACCTGGCGGCAAGGCAGCTTCCGCTGGCTCCGGGCAATTACAATGAGGAACTCAGTGGTGAGCTGTCAGCAGCCAAACTCCTGGCTGTGGGGAATGAATGCCGCAGTCCTGACGGAGGAATTTCGGTGATGCAACCGCAGCATCTAGAACATCCACAAAAGCCAAGACACCTGGGAGCTTGTTTGATGAAATTCCACTCATGTGGAATGTCAGACCTTCCCAAACGAGGTCAGACTCAGAGTGGCATCCTGGGATGATAAGCCCCGTACCTGCGTCCCTTCCTTTGGTGCTCTCTAGCATAGATCTGGTCCAGGTCGCTTTCTCAATTCTCAGTGGAATTATTCTAATAGTAGTCTGTCTTCTCACACCT